GTGTGCTCGAAGTGAAGTTGTGATTGGGCAGGGCGTTGAAGGATGGCGGATTTCTTGCCAAGGCCGTCAAGATTTCCCCACTAGCGCAGTCAAGCAACTCTGGTGAATGATGGCGGAGCTTAGCGCTTTCAGCACGCAACCTCTCATTGAAGGTACCAAGCCGATAGCTTTGACAGCCATGTCTCTTGGCCGCATCTTGGCGAAGCTCGTAGTGTTCGGGCGTGGAGTGGTCTCGTGTAGAAACGTCAGCCAATAGGAACATCGCACGCCAAAACGTGGGTAACATCAACGGTCGAGAGACGTCGACATCCGTCTACCAGCTGGACCAGGCCCTCCCACGGCCATGGGTCCTGCCATCTCTCCCACCCATCTTATTTGCTCATGCATTAATACACCTTCCAGAACAGTGTCCGGAAGCTGACGGGCAGGCCCAAGAACTTGCAACAGACTCTGCTTGGCGTTTCCAGCATGCAAGCCGAAAGATTAATGCCTATGGCTACGCGACTGACACCGTGAGGTCTGCCATCTCCGGAATGTCGTCTAGCGGAAGTAGCTCCTGCGCGATTTTCGAGCCCATCCCTCGCGAACCCCGAGGTCGCGGGTCTGACCAACAGTGAGTCTGCATCACGACACATGGTGTAGAAGAATGATGCGGATGCAGTTGGAGGGCATCAGGAGGGTGTTGCGCTTTGATGTGCGAGGACACGGATAACCCCGTACAAAGTTAGTGACCTGCGAGTAGCTGGAGTTGTCGGCGACTTCCTGTGTCAAGGCGAGCCGTAGTCTTGTTGTAGGTCAGACGATATATTTGATGTTGAAGTGCAACCCGGACAGAGGGGATCTCGAGTGGCATCCCTTGGACCTGTTGCGAATTGCCGGTCAACTCAATTAGGGCCCGGCTCGGTGGTATCATGCGTAAGCTGGGATCCGTTTACCAACAGAGGCGAACTCTTGGCCCGCCGCCAGCCGCTATGAGGAAATACCTCCATGACGGACTCACCATCTGCATAGATGATCCTGAGTGACTATGTTTGCCATCAGACTACGCGAGTCCGGTCTCTTGGGGTGTATACATCAAATAACGCAGGAGTATTCAGTGGTGCGCGGCGATGTAAACCATATCGCCGCTGGTGTAGCATCGTGTCGATAACTCCGTGGTGACCAGGACGCCGCGGGTGGTTTTGGAGACCAGATTGATTCCGCTGCAGTCGCCATCATCCATATCTGACCAATAGGTGCAGGCGGATTCGTGCCTTCATTCCTTGAGACCGAAAGTTCTCAAAGAGAGTGTGAATGCGTCGCCATCTCCAATACATTGCGCCGGAAGCGTGACGCGTCGAAAGTCGAAAGTCCTTATCCCGTCTCTTTCAAGCAAACCGCGCTAGTCCAAACGGGTAAGTCCCCTTCTCCATCTAGAGAAGGACCGAGCGACGCCGGTAGCAGCAATAACGACATCAAAGCCATAACGCGTGATTATTACCTTAGAATTGACGAACGGAATAAGCTGTAAGGGAACACGTCAGGACGTTGCGAGATGTAGTCAATTTAAGCTTGTGGATCGCCCTCCACCCCAGTTCGGTGTGTGCCCATCATCCCACAAAACAAGCCGCCCGTGTGCCGACTTATCCGGCTTCGCCCTGCACCTACGGCATCTTTCTGACGAAACGAGTGAGGCTTCAGGTACCCGTTTTGTGGGCATCTGCGATGAGTGGTAAGCTTTTTTTTTCAAGCTTTGGCGTGATTTGGAAAGTGATGTGGCGATCTTTGCAATGGCGAGGTGGTAGAAGGGGAAAGTCATGGGGTGATACGCCACGATTGCATCCTTTTAACATGGATTAAAAGAAGCTGCCGATGACGCTTGCTTTGAAGCATTATTACTATTATTACAATGTAACAGACGAATCCGCCTGTTTGCTCCAGAACGATAACGCTGAATCACGAACCATGTCTTACTGATAACCGACACCCACCTCACCCGGAAAACTAGCCCAGAACTCCTGTGTCGCATTAATCATCATCGCTTCCAACTCCTCATTTGTCAAGGCGAATGATTCGAACGAGTCGAGATTGAAGGTTTCGTCGGCTTCCAGTGGGGGCACCGCTGGAGGCGTGTTCCACGAGAAGTTGGACGAGTAGCTGTTGGGTGTGGGCGCTGCGACAGGCATGGGGCTTGTAGCGGGCAAGGGGCTCCTGACGGGTGGGTTGGTAAGATTGGCGATCATCGGTTTGCGCTGGTAGTATGTTAGCAGATTCTCATGATTGGGGTGTGGAGGACGTACATCATTGTGCTGTTGTGAAGGGGATCGGCTGGAGGCGATGTCTCGAGCATCAGCTGGCTTTTGTACAGGCGAGGGCTGCAACGCGCCATAGTCGATCATGGCATGCCGAAGAGCTCGTCGTTCTTCGGGTGATGCCGGGCCGTCCTGGCCAAGTATCGAGCGGTAGTACGCCTGCATGCGTCTGATGGTATTATACTGGGGCTGTCAGCATGTGTTGTTCAAATATTCTGAAGTACTCACCCAGGTTTCTGCCATTGGCCATTGTGTTTTCATCTCTTTCAAGAAGTTGCACCCCTGGATTACGCTTTTGCGCGCCTTCTCCCGCCAGCGAGGATCGTCATCACCGCTCGGGAAGTTGAAACTATACAACATTGCGCCGACTGCTGTGTAAATGGTAAAGCCAATCCACGGCACTAGGCCTCTTAGGAAGTACACGCCAAACGTACGCATCTCCTCGAGCATATCCAGGACCATGACCGAGTCTTTGAACAGCTCCTTGCGCGAAGTCTTTTCCCACTTCTTCCACATATCCCGATGCTCGTCATAGGAGTTTGGCGTCTCTTCGGGATTGGCTCCATTCTGCTGAGGACCAAGGACGGGCAGATAGGCGCGATGCAGGAACATGTAGCTCATGAAGTGGATGCAGTGCATGTAGCAGTACGCTTGGCCTTGCTCGACGGCATTGTGGCTGTGGAGAGTGAAGAGGTCGTACTGCAGACGCTGCGGGAGCGAGGCTTTCCAGCCCTCAAGCTCATAGATGAGCTGCTGAAACTGCGACGAGGAGGTCCATGGCAGTTCGCTCTTGAGATCCTCAGAGCACGCCCATCGCGCGACTTTACCCCATATGTTGGCAGCGCGCATACTATAGCCAATGATACCAATCTCTCCTACAGGTAGAGCTACTGGCGGCATGCGCTGTGTGTTGTCTAGCTGTGGTGTGCACACAGGCTCCCCGAAGACAAAGTCCTCGCGCTCGCAGGGTAGCTGAATCTTCATGTCGGCTGCCGTCAACGATCTCTTGCGGCCCTTGCCGCCACTGAGGAGCGAGTCCATGAGGAAGCAGGTCCAGGCAGTCCGTCGGCGCACTTCAGCCTCGATGAACTCCTCACGCGTCGGCACGCGGTTTCGTGGGATGCCGGTCTCACGCGTCAGGTCCATGACTTCAACCAGGCGTATGGCCATGCCCAGGTATATCCAGGCCCGTCTTCCGTTTCCGGCGCCCCAGTCATGGCCCGTCAGCATCAACAGGGCTTGGACGCGGCTTATCGAGGGCGTCTCGAGGTCCTGCTGCAGGATCTGGCGGGCGTGGGCGGCATAGGCATTGCTGGCTTCAGTCTGCGACCGGAAAGGCGACGGCGGCTCTTTGACGAATCTACGTCATGTTAGATACGCGACTGAGTGCATTGTGAGTTGCAGCATACCTAATGGCCAGTGCCAGGATCGCCCAGGCCATCCATGGCTCGAGGGTGTGGTCACGGATCTTGCGCAGCAGCGTCGGCGTATGGTGGAAACTCCACTTGTAGCTGCATCTGAGGTAGCTGTTCTTGACCTCGTCCGTCAGCAGCTCGAAGGGATCGAGGCCGTCGAGCAGCGACGATGCCGCATTCGGCGACGCGTGCTGTGCCGCCTGGGTGCCGTTCGGCAGATGTGCGTCATGGCGGCCCTGATGGGGCACTACAACCGTCGTACTCGAGTTGCTCGGTGTCGGCGTGTCTCCTGCATCTTCAGAGGGCCGTGGTCGCTTGGGCTTGCGGTGTATCGCACTGGTTCCTGGCGCTATCGACTGTCAACACGCGCCGCTCTAGGGGATGGCAGAAGCTTCGACGCACCTGGGAACTCGCACCGATCGGCGCGCCCGCACTGCTTGCACCTGTCACATGGCGGCCGGTCTTCGTGGATGCACTTCTGTTTCGCTGACCGACAGGACACACACGCGACGGGATTGCGCATAGTCGCGATGCCTGAGAGAAGCCAAACATCGACGGGGAGAGGAACGACCCTGCCTCGGTCGCTCTTCCCCGTCGCGATCTGCTCTCCGCATCCCGTGCCTGCCCAACATTCGCGCTAGGCCGACCACCGCTAAAGCGAGGACATCCATGAACCTTGTGCGTATTTTTTATTTTTTGCCTTTTCACATGGGAACTCTTTCACGATATCTAGTCAATTGTCACCATCTCCATGTCTCTGGCTTCAAGCATGCTTAGGCTTGGCAACGCAAACACCGACCATGAGGATGCCCCAGGAAGGAACGATCCTCGACATCAACCCGTATGAAGTAGTCGCGACAACATCGTCACACCCACCATGCGATACAGCATTCATGGATCTGGCCTGTTGCCTATCCCTATGGGGAAACCTGAGCAAGCTATGTCCTTTACGGTTTGCTATCAAAACAGTCGTCCCATCTTGTTTCCCTGCACCGTCTCGCTCGATTCTAAGTTATTTCATCTTCTTCTCTTGTACCGAGTATGTTCTACGACTCAGGTCATCTTACCAAGTCTCTTCCTGAGCCTCAGAACTGTGAACAGGGCTGTAGCCCGATCGCCACTAAATTCTCATTCTTCATATATGATGACCTCAACTGAAGCGTGTACCGTACACGCAGAGCAGAAGATTTATGAACCATCGTGACTCCTCTCATTCACCGTTCAGTCTTAGTCGCCCTTGTGCTGGTCTTTCAAACCACGTCTTTGTCCAACACCCATATTCACTTTGCACGGACCCAACCACCACGCGTTGCTAGCATTCTTCCCCTTCACTACCCACAATCTATTCGTAATAGTCACTCAATTTCTGATTTGGGCCTAGTGGCGTGTACAATAGCACATACTCAACCCCTGCTTGACTACACGAACTTTGATCCGACATCCACTTGATCGTTTTCGCTTTCCAAGTCCTACTTTCGTTTTGAAGACACGCCTACTAGCAATAAGATAACGCCAGCCCCAAGGCGCAATGGCTCATTCCTCGGCCGTTAATCGCCCTGGCTACCAGACATACGCAGTTCCCCTGCCTGGCGGAAAGAGGAAGCGGGCGGCTGCGAACAGCCAGTCAGAATCGGTGAGCTAGATATCTTCATTGTTCGTCCTCTTGAGCTAACGCAGAAGCCTAGGCTGAACACAATGCGATTCCCATGGTAGCGCGCTTGAAGAGGAGTCGCCCCAACCAGGACGAGTACAACGCCAAGTACATGGCTGAGATGTGCTTCAGCGCGTACAAGGCGCGCTTACGCATGGCCGGCTATACTCAGTATACCGCCGATGTTGCGAACGAATGGCGAGAGGATCTTGTCGAGACATTCAGCCACGCCGCGTTGAAAGGAACCATCAAGCAGGATGCAGCATCTCGTCATGTCGTCCCTCGTCTGACAACTCTTATCCCTCGAAGGAACGAAAAGAAGGGCGAGCTTGTGAAGGACTTTGCGAAGCACTACGAGACTGTGCGAAATGATATGATGGTCATCGACAGGGTGATGGGAAACGGTTTCAAGGTCGGTGAACGATCTATCATCGAAGTACGCGAGTGTCTCAATGGCCTACACTATATTCTCGCCAAAGGAGAGCAATGGCGCAACGTCATGCCTTACACACCGCTGCCAATATACCGCCTTCGAGCCCTCCGCGACCTGATAAAGTACTCACGGCCTCACCACCTCCTCGGCGATCTGGTCACCAACATTGAAGACATGGAAAGTTGGCTCAGCCCGCCACTTGCGAGCTTTATTTTTCCGACTGGTTCGATCGATGAGACGATGGATACGTTGCAGGAAGCAACCGAGGACAAGATTGCAAAGACCAGCATCGGCTCCTACGCACAGCAGATGGCAGAATACCGAGCGCAAAAGGCCAAAGTCCTGCGTCTGCAGAAGGAGGAACAGGCCCGTCCGCAAGAGAAGGAACGTCTTGAAGAAGTCCAACGAGGTCAAGCAGAGCGAGAGCAGCTGAAGCAACGGATCAAGTCGCTCGAGACGACTGCCGCAAAGGAACGCGCTCAACAGAGTATGAAGAAGGCCGTAGAAGCCGAAGCAACAGCTCAACGCGAGAAATCGTACCAGGTTCAGATTGCGCAAAATGCAACTGAGATCAACAGACTCAAAACCGACCTAGCCAACCTGGCTGCTAAGCAGGGAACCCAAAATAAGCCCGAAGCCACTTCGATATCGTCATCTCCAGTTGTTTCGGGACAGATTGGCACTTCAATAAGCTCGTCTTTCAGTAGCAACCAGACTTCACACCATCCTACGCCGAAAGATGAAGACGTCCAAATGACGGACGCTCGAGGCTTTGATAGCTCGCAGCAAGACCCAAAGATCTTCGGTCCGGTCGGTTCTTCAGCGAACAGTATACGCGGTGTAGGCCAGTCAAATCCCTTCAATGCTGGTATCACCAATGGCGCCCTCTCACATCCTCTCGGAATGTCAGCCGGCGACGGCAACTTCAAGGCAGCTTGCCCAGCATACAAGAACGGGACCTGCACATTAGGCAGGAGTTGCAAGCTACCCCACACCGCGTGCAGGTTCTGGCTAAAAGGTAATTGCAAATACGGTGGGAGATGTAACCACAGCCATGACCCTTTCTTCATAACAGAAGTTGCATCAAAGAGCCAGCCAAGACAAGCTTCACGAGCTGACCAAATGGTCATCGATTTTGTCCCTGCACCACGATCCGGCAACTTCTCCCAAGCGAATCCCTTTTCTAGTCACCTGCCGGGTGGTTCAACTCCACTCGGTAGGGGGACGTTGGGGAATGGGCGATCTGTCTTGCAACCCAAGCAGCAAACTCACACTTTCGGCTCTCATCCTAGCAACATCATGAATCCGTTCGCCCACGCTCCACTACTAGTGCCAGCAGTGCTCAAATCGACACTTGCTGAACGTGTAACAAGGGGCGAACAGCCCACCTCTTATGACAACCCAACGCCATTTGGTTACCATACCCCACCAACTGGCCCTCGAGGGAGCCGTTCGCTCGCCGACAGAATAACGAAGAACGATCAACCCATCTCACTTCAGCCCCAACATCAGCTTCCTACCATTCGTATCGAACAATCCCTAGAGGACATCATCAATGCATCCGGAGCGCGCAGGAACGAGAAGCAGGTAAAGCTGCTTCAATCAGAAACTCTCTGCAGGTGGCAAATGATTTCGCCAAATGGGTGCACGAATCCTGGTTGTGGCTATGAACATGATCCACCAAAGACAATGGGTGCGAGGGCTGGAAAGGGAGCAGCTGCGCGTGGCTCAAGGAATCCGTTTAGCCAGGTTTGTGATATACTGAGGGGGAAGCGGTAGGCATGAGGATACGATGGAGAGATCTTTCTTTGGAAATCGTCACGGGATATAGGCAAGGCACCGACACGATTGTACTCTGTTGTGCCTGGCTCTCTTCGACTACTGCGTAGTCTTTATGCTAGGTCATCATTTGGTCTACACTAAGCTTCTGAGCGAAGGCACGTTCTTCTATCGTCTATGCCGATCGCATCAGCACTCCAAGATACGACTCTATTCACCGACAATGTTTCGGCCTCAACCTGAAACCCGCCTCATGACTCATATACTTCCACAACCTCCGCTACGTTAAGTGCGGTCTCAGATCCCATTCTGAAGCCGCTGGACAAAGCGCCACTAGACATGAGTTTTCGGACTTGGTCTCGGACAAAGCCGGGAGTTACCCCATGACCTTTGTAGCCACTGACTCTTTGTTGTAGAACTGATAGCTATGAGCCAGCATTGAGTCACATCTTTTAATCGAGACACTGTGTTACAATCTGCATCTGCATCTCTGTATCTTCCTTCGACCAAGAGCCGCACCTAGGCATTTACGATAAGTAAGATGGGAATGTCAACGGTTACAAATATATTAAACTGTACCGGAACGGGCTGCCACATAGACATCATCAACCACATCCAAGCCATTCAACAAAACTGGTTCATCCACCCCTCCACCTCAGAAGAACCCATTCTCCCACCCTCACTCCTCGCCGGCGTCCCAATCAACTGCCTCCCAGCCGCAATCATCGAAGCCATCCACGAGCTCTCCACCTTAACAATCGGTCAACGAGACCGAGCGCACAATCTCCTAAACACCTATTTCCAAGCGCGCATCCGCGAAGGCTCATACAGCGGCAAATCCCAAAAGATCTTTGCCATCTTGGAAATCAGCGATGTGAAAAAGGCATGTGAGAGTTTGCGAAGAATGAGCCGAGGTCGCGAGATGCAAGGGCCCGTTCCAGTCAAAGAAGATGCAATGAGGAAGAGGAAGTACTCGATTAGACACGAGATGAATGCCGTTACTGAAGAGGAAGAAGACGAAGACGCACAAAGACTAGCCAAACGACTGAAAGAAGAATTATGCGTTATTTCGGAAGACGACAACACCAAGAATGAGCCTAGCATATCAGTCTGCCTCAATTTCGAGGATATACCCACGCCTCCAGATTCAAAAGCTACAATAATAACAGCAACACTTCCTTCTACGACTACAACACCCCAGACTCAACGCCGGAACCGACCCCCTCCGATTGTCATTACAGAGATCCCCACTCCTACAGGTACCTCCCCTGGCATCGTTCCACCGTTTTCTTCTTTCACGCCCCTTTTCAACAGCCTAGCACAAGAATTCGGCGGTGACCCAGACACACCGTGTCCGATGCGACAGAACACTTACCAACCCCAGCTTCAACAATCACAGCCAGATCTCCTCAACATTACAGACAACAGCTACGGTGACGACAAAATCATCAGCAACGATAATGCCAACGGCAACGGCAATCTTTTTGAATCGTATATGTGCGATACATACCCAGCCCCTAAAATTGATCCTCGTGTCCAGGCAGCGCAGAGAGCGACGCACGAGTTTAACGTGAGGAGGATGGAGGTAATTGAGGCGCAGAGAGTGTTCGAGGGGGCGAGGAGGAGGTTTGGAGAGGCGAAAAGGCGGATGGAGGGGATGAGGGGAGGGGCGGTATGGCGATGATTAAGGGAATGGAGATGGACATAGGAAAGGAGGGTGGTGGTGGTAGGAATGTGGGGTTTTGTTTGGATAGAGCGAGGTTTGTAGGGATGTCAAGGCATGCCTGAACTCAGTGCATTGTATTTAGTAGCATTCGATCATCTTGCCCCTGTATCAAAGTAGGAAGAAACAAGTAGAACAATTCCAACACCATCTTTGTTGGTTTCTTATCTAATAGCTCGTTTGCAGGCTTTCTGCCCGAAATTTCTACCTCAAACCTCACCACTCCTCCTCCTCACCTCCCCCAGCTCAACATCATCCTCATCCATCTCAATCGCACACTCGTCATCCTTCCCATTCGGCTTATCCACCTCCTCGTCGCTACCATCCACATTAACCGGTGTAACAACCCCCGAATCCACAGCCCCCGGCGTCGTACACGCACTACCCCCCGTCTTCTTTGCCTTGAGCCCATACACCGTATTAAGTTCCTTCCGCATCTTGTACTCTTTCTCGCCCCACGTAAGACAAAACCCGATTCCCGCTAGAACCGCAAAAACAATCCACACGCACTTCAGACTCTGGGTAAACGCATTGATAATCTCGGCTTTGATGGTGGGGGACGTGGCTTGCGTGGCGATGAAAGAAGCCGTAGCGCGTTGATATGCCTGGCCGTTTTCCAGTTTCCCGCGAGCGGTCGTAGAGGAAATGGTGGGGAGGAGAGAGGCGAAACGGATGTTGAAGACAGCGCCAGGAATGGCGACACCGAAGAGAGAGCCTGTGCCGCGGAGGAAGGCCCAGGAGCCTGCGCTTGCGCCGGTTGTGGATTCTGGGAGCTTGACCTGGACAGCGGGGAGCATGGTGCTAATGACTATACCGAGACCAGCTGCGGTGAAGAGTTGGAGGGAGAGCCAGACGCCGATAGAGGATTGCGCGTTGAGTAGGGTGCAGAGGGCCAGACCCAGGGTCATCAAAGCGAAGCCGATGATGTGCATGGGTTTGTATTTGCCCCAGTAGCTGAGTAAGGGGCCGCCGACTGCGGCGAGAACGACGACGACGAGAGTGGTTGGCATGACTTCTAGCCCGGACTGTGTGGGTGAGGAACCCTTGACGGCTTGGAAGAAAGGCGGGAGGTAGAATTGGAATCCGTACGTTATGAAGCCGTGCATAGTGGTTAGTGCGAAGGCGATGTTTGTAGTTCGGTTCGAAAAGACGTGCGGTGGCATGATGGGGTATGTGCAGTAGGTGCTGCATTCCCAGAAGCCAAAGCCGATGAGGCCCAGGATACCGAGGACCATGGGTATGGTGACGGAGACGTGAGACCATGGCTTTGGTGCGCCGCCTGTGCTGAGGGAGACGAGTAGCATGAGAACGGAGCCCGTGAGCATGCCGCTTCCCACGTAATCCACCTTCTTCAACTCTTGACGGAGCGATGTTTCGGCGGTCGTGCTACTTCCACCGACGTTTAGCCAGCGCCAGATGACGACCAGGGAAATGGCGCAGACGGGTATATTGATGAGAAAACACCATCGCCAGCCGTGTTCAGCGAAGACTCCTCCGAGGAGTGGACCGAGTGTGGTGCCAGCCGCGAAAGCAACGTGCTTGATCGCCAAGTACGGACCTCTCTTTCTCAATGGCACGATATCACAGAGAATCATCTCAGCGAACAGATCAATGCCACCGGTTCCGAGGCCTTGGACAATGCGTCCAGCGATGAGCACTGCGCCGTTCTGTGCGCCGCCGCAAATAGCTGAGCCCACTGCGAAGACGGCAACAGCAGTCATCATAGGAGTTTTCCTTCCCCACATATCTCCAAACTGAGAGTAGAGGGGCTGGAAGATGGTGCTCGCGAGGAGGAATGCGGTCGCAACCCAGGAGAATTTCGTGCCGAGATCCAAGGCCTCGGAAATGGTAGGGAGGGCGGTGTTGGTTACGCTGCCCTCAAGAGCGGAGAGAAGCAGTGGAATGCATATAGCAATGAACGATTGCCAAAAGCCCTCCGATCGCTTCCATTTGGCGGAGGGGGTCTGAGAGGGGAGGGAAGGTGGAAGCGTAGGGCGACTGAGGCGGCGGGAGAGGGTATTGTTGAAGACTTGGGATTGAGTAAGTGGCATGCTTCCCAAGTCCTGTTCTTCAATGACGAATTCGACTTTGCGCTCCGCCGTAGATGGTGTCGTACTCACTGTAGAGTCGGATGAAGACATCTTCGAAGAAGTGAACGTTCCCCTGGTACTCCTGGAAAGGACTGATGAGTGAGGATAGCGGTATATAAAAGGAGACCCTGTTTAGTAAAAATTTCTCTCAGCAAGGAAAAATAACTCTTCCACCTTGCGACCGTGGTAGCGAGTCCACGTTACTTCCAGATATGTACACAGCTCAGTTCACACGCCGTGGCGCTAACCGTGTTATATACCTCTCCTGTCCGTGAGTATACTCAACATGTCCATACTACCCACTAGATAAATGAAGCACCTCTGATAGTATGTTGTATTACGAATGTGTTGTCGTGTTCGCGCATGATGAGGATGCGGTACCGCGGTAGAAGACCCTCTTTACATCTGGCCCAAACGGCGAGAGCGAATGAGCTCGTGTGAGAGACGACGACCCTGACATATTTCGCTGCAGGAACGCGCAGCTTAGCGATACCTTCTTGTTGACGAAAATCTATTGTTGTCAACTTCGACCATTACCGATGCGTAGCCAGAGATGGTGGGCTCATGCCACGCGTGATCCACTGGTAACTCATTGATATTATCCAGCCACGCCCATAGTTTGGCCTAAACCGCTTCGAAGTAGTGTTTCGTGCGGATCTTGCCTATCTGAAGGCTGGAGGCGTGAATCATGCAACCTGGAGGGTAGGGCCGTGTCCCAGTGTGCCTCGGTGCATAGTCCGCGAGAAATATCGACTGTCTCTGCAGTCCCAGATTATTCGAACATCTCGGTTCAGTATGGCGTTTTGTTCTCTTGGGAGGCGCGCGTGTTCAGCTGACGTACACAGTATATTAACCAGCCTTGAACGCCACCGCGACCCATCTGTGTCGCATAGCATCGACTATGCAGGTGCACAGTCCCAACTCTCACCTCCGCCCCGGGTCCACAAGCTCAAAACCAGGTAACTGCATCCTCTTCAAATTCGGACAACTCCTCAGCAACAAACTCGCAATCCGCGTCGAATCACTCCCATCCCTCACATCCTCAACCCAAACCCCCCAATCACTCTTCCTAACAAAGCACTCCACATTCCCCCTAATCACCGCATCCAAATCGACCCCCTCACACTTCGGCCACGGATCCAAGTTCCCGCCATACGCATGAATCACGGCAAAAGAACGGACTAGCTGGCGATGGGGCGGAGATGTCCAGAAGAGGAGGGCGAGAGGGCGCAGGTACTTGAAGTCCGGGCCGTAGAGCGTGATGTGCGTGTAGAGGTGGGCTGTTGCGAGGCGGTTTAGGTGGCGGGAGACGAGAGTGAGGCTGTGCAGAGAGGTTCTGGAGGGGAGGTGGGAGAGGATTAGGTCGAGGAGTTCGTCGGGGAGGGATTCGAGGGGGGAGAGGTGTGTGGTAGGTGAGGGGGAGGAAGATCGGGTTTGGGTTTGAGTGCACATTTGGTAGTGGTTGTGGTGTTGGTGGTGGTGATGACGACTTCGATAATGACGATGATGTTAGGTAGGCGAGATGAAGTTGTTGAGATGGAATTGCGCAGGAATTACAGAAGAATAGCTAGGGACGTAGACAGATGAGACAAAAAACATGCAGAATAAAAAGGCACGCAATATACTTGATGATGAGCGCTGGTGTGGAGCTATGGATATATCCCATGTCATAGGTCATAAGCCAAGACAAGGGTCCATTCAGGTACAATGCACGGCAGTTGCGATGTCGCGATCGTCTTCGGATATATCAGTCCTCTTTACCCCGCCCCCACCATTACTACGTGCTTCGGCAATTACAGAGGTCAAGGCATGATAAGAGACTGGGGAATGGTAGTAGAAGAAGTAGTGTTATTCGTGACATGTATGTCATCTATAGCGTATCTCAAAATACAACCATATCTACGCGTCTAGCCCTTCTACCGACTCTCACGTCTACTTGAACTCCTTCATAAACTCCTCGTGGAACTTGACAATGCGCCCTGTCCAGTCGGTTCCAGGAGCAAGGAAGGTGGTCCTGAAATGCAGCGTGCCTTCCTTCTGTCCAAATCCTGTACCAGCAACAACACAGACACCTGTGGCATCGAGCATGCGGAAGCAGTAGAACTCATCGGGTGCACGGCCTTCCTTCTTGGCCTGTTGAACGGCCTTTTCTGGGAGGTGGATGGTGGGGAAGAGGTACATGGAGCCCTGATGTTGGGGTTAGCTATGCGATGTGTAGTGGGCATGGAATACGTACCTGCGGCTCGTTGCACTCAACACCTTCCATCTGCTTGAACGCCTCGTACAAGGCATACGCGCGCTTCTTCAGTCCGTTGAAGATGCCATCGTACTCCTCCTTGTAGAGCTCGTAGCTTGGCTCGCCCTCCTTTGGTGGGTTGACCATCATCTCCACAATACACTGGCCCAGCACTGGCGGGCACAGTTGGATGGAGATGAACTTGTAGACCTCCTGCGCAACCTCTGGGTCAAAGCCGATAAGCTCAAAGTAGCCACCTCGATGACCACACTCGCCGACCATGCCCTTGGAAACCGAGTGCAAAGAAGCAAGCTCGAGGTGGTCGTACTGGCCGGGTGACTCCTTTTGCAGGTCGCGTAGAGCCTTCTTGAAGGAGATGAACTCGCCAATGAAGACGTTGGTCTGGTAAACCTCGTCGGCGATGACGACGAGACCCTTCTCGGCGGCGAACTTAAGCACGGCCTTGATGTCTTCGGCGGGCAGCGATGCGCCAGTAGGGTTACCTGGGTTAATGACGCAGATAGCCTTAACATCGGTACCCTCCTTTACAGCCTTCTCGTATGCAGTCGCAATCGAGTCGAGTGATGTGCCCCATGCTTGGTCTTCGTTGAGGTAGTATGGCACGCAGCGGGCGTCGAGAACGGAAAGCGTCGCGGTGTAGAGAGGATACTGGGGGATGGGAACCATGATACCGGTCTCGGGCTTCGCGCAGATGGTGTGGAGGAGGGTGTTTACACCTGACGAGGCGCCGTTACTGAGATAGATATCCTCGAACTTTGCTGGGTAGCCATCACGACCTGTCTCTGTCAGTCCAGTCCTCGTAGTTGTATAGTGAGGTACACACGCTCAATGTACTCTGCGACGCTCTGCCTGATGCCTGGTGCACCCTGACTCTGACTGTATGCGCCCACGCTCTTGACCTCCTTCAGCAGCTTCCTTGCGCGATCAAGCACATCCGACTTGTATCCCAGGCTCTTGAGCAGGACATCCTCGTGCTCCAACAGGCCGGGGTTCTCGAGTATACTCGCGACCTGCCTGAAGAATGTGATTGGCTTTTGGTCTAGCTGCTGAGGGTTTCCGATATTGGCCGCGATGACAGTGTCGAAGGGCAGGTCCTTGCCCTCACCCTTTGCTAGCTTCGCGCGGTACTCTTCCGACTTGACGGCTAGTTCACCACGGACGGCATACTTGGCTGCCTTGACGTGCGGGTTGATGTTGCCAATCTGCAACACCTTCTGCGGTGCCTTGGACATGATGCTTCGACTATGTGGAAGGTGCGACGGGGAGTTGTAAAGTTGGGTCGGGACGCGTCCAGCGAGGAATGGAGATAGGGTTTGAGGGGTGGAAGAGGTGAAGGGTCTATACAGGACTAAGGTGGTGAGCACACGTCCAGACTATAACTTAGCTCAGGCGAAAAGTGTATCTCTGAGCGCTACTCAATCCCGCGACGTACTCGAAACACGTAGATGATGTGCGTCAATGGCTGGTCTATATTTTTTATGCTGCGTCGCGTGGTGCCCCACTACGTGTAGGGTAGAGCCACTACGATGCTGCCCCTCGGTGGCTCGGCGCGTTGCGGATGTGCGAATCTCTTACGCTTTACCCGTCGCGCGTACAAAAGAACAGTGGGATCAAATACCTCTAGAGCCCACGCTGCCACCAAGGCGTCGACTGGCCATGGCTAGAGGGCGTAGTGAACAGGCGCATGGCAAAGCCGATGACGGCGACATGTCGATGGACCCTGATTGATGCTTATCGGCGGCTGCTCGAGGCGATGACCCCACCCACGCGGGTCTCAACCAAGAGCTTGGGTTGGAGCTTGTTACGAACGATGTGATGTAAACGTGGGCGTGGAAATGATTTTGAAGACGCGGGACGTCGCGTGGGTATGTTGTAAGGTTGAAAGGAGCATTGCTTTTGTGTTATCTCACCGCACCTTCATAATACGCTCGTTGAGCCGCACATGCATCACGGAGATATCGGAACTAGGTCCGCGATGCGAATATGGCAATGCCACCCGGGGAGCCACAACAGGAAGCACAGACAGACAGTCATGGTATGCTTTTGTTTTCATTCAGCGGTCTTTGCGCTGGTATGTCTAAGTCTACAATGCCTCAAGATCATTACACATCCACCTCGTCGTGACAGTCTAGCCGCGCTCACTGCCCCTCAGCCTGACGGCCTGACCGTACTTCTGCAGCTTGGTAATGAGCTGGTCACCCTGTTTGACCACGTCTGCGTACTGCTTGTTCTTGTCGTCGGGTCGGTTGGTCTCGATGATGCCCTTGACGCGGTCGATGGTGCAGGGTATGCGGTCGGCGGCGATGAAACGAGCGAGGTCCCTAGCTGTTGTTAGCGAATGCACTGTATGGAAAGAATAAATATCGCTCACTTGTCAAGGAAGTCAACGGTGACACCAAAGTCCTTGGCCATGCTCTCTAGGCCAACGACCCTGTACGACTGGAGGAGTTGCTGGTATCCCCGTAGGCGCATCTCCCTCACGTACCAGCCACGGTGCTCGTACATGTAGCGGTCCTGGCTGAGGAAGTTGGTCTCTACCTCTCCAAGAGCGCCGAAGAAGGTCTTGTAGTCACCCTCGTACAGGCTCTTGACAAGCTTCGACAGTGGTGTGAAGTCAACAGGCACCTCCTTCTCCTGTTGTCCGCCAAGAGTGGTGAGGTTGACAAGGGTGGGCACTGGTGTCGCAGTGGAGCCTGACGCATCTGCCATTTCCTCGTCGCCGGCTGTTGGTCCTGCTGATGTCTGGCCAGTGATTGCCGAGAGTTTCTCTTCTGAGGTTCCGACGATGGCCTTAATCTCAGGCGCATCCACAACCTTGGACTTGAAGTCGACACGTTTGAGTGACACCGAGCCAGCAAGAATGGCGTAAACGACAAGACTTGAGTAGCTGCATAACTCGTAGCTGGTGAATGTGGACAAGCTGTCGAGCAGTAGCGGGGCGGCCTGCGAGTGTGATCGGACGGTGAGGTAGTGTAGACCAGTGTATGCCTTCAAACGGTTGCGACGATCCCAGTCACCACCGCTCTCTACCAATGCGCTGGCCCGGTCAATCGACTTCTTGGCCAGTATCCTGTCGCCGAAGAAGAGCGCAACGCGTATTATGGCGAGGACGAGGTCGATCTTGGTGCCTAGGATGCCTGTCTTCTCGAAGATGGCCTCGTAGCTGGCGATGGCTTTGTCCTGGGTCTTGATTAGTCCCGCCATGCGACAATATACACTACTCTGCATACCTTGTCCCCTATGCGGTTGTAGAGCTCTGCGCGCTTGCCCCTCGCGGCTTGTACTTCGGTCTCGCCTGCCTTCTCTTCGGCCTCTTCCTCCTCCTTCTGTATCGCCTCGAGCTCCTTCTCGCTCTCCGCCTTGAGGCTCTCATAGAGTTTCTCGTCCCACGACAACGGGACTTCTAATGAGGGCGTGCGTGTGGCAAGCATCGTCGCTAAGCTGGCAGACGGTCTCCGGTTCTTGTTTGGCTGGTCTGCGCTGCCCTCGCCCTGTGCATTCAGGACACCGTCTACCGGGTGGGCGAGGTACCGGTAGAGCGGCGCCATCTTGTTCTCGGTGATGGCATCTTGGACCGACTTGAGGGCGGCTTGCTTGGCTTGTTTGGAGGCGGAGGGATTGGTGAGCTGGAAGATGTTCTGCGACAGCTGGAGGTCGGGGTACTTGGCGAATTGCGGATCACCCATCTTGGAGTTTGCTTTGCGGTGTGAGGGGATGGGCGGTGGTGGGTAAAGGTGGACGGGGCGTGACCGTGTGCGATGTTGCTATGATGAATGATCTCCGCCGCTCGACTTCCGCCGACGTAGTAAAGCTCGCGCACGGACAGCCTTTGAGACCAGCGGAAACTAGAACTACAGAAGCTACCTAACTCGCTCCTTCTACCTTCTCAGTCTTTCTTTCTATTTCCGGTCGAGGCTAAATTCCAAATTTTCGCATCGGAACAGCCCTTGAAAGATCTCAGTCAAGCCATTGCAAACTACCTATCCTCATCCAACGCGTCGGACTTGGAGCCGGCCTTCAGACGCGTACCACCAAACTTCACAACATGGCGAACAACGACCAAGGCAGAAAGCGTGCGCGCTCACCCTCGAGATCCCCATCACGGTCACCACCCCGTCAGCGAAAGCGCCCCGGAGCAGGTGCCCGAGTGTCAGCCGCCGATCGCGAAGCCGCCCGAAAGCGTGCGCAAGCGAGAGAAGAAGAGGCGGCGAGGAGGGCCCAGCAGGAAGCCGCGCAGAGAGGTGTGCACGATGTCGTCAAGCAGCATTACAATGCCGTCCCGGAGCGAGGCCGCGAATGGCGCAACACAGACAGCAAGATCAAGGGCCTGCGCAGCTTCAACAACTGGGTCAAATCCTCCATCATCCAGAAATTCATCGGCGACGAGCGGAACCTCAAGATTCTCGATGTCGGATGCGGAAAGGGCGGAGATCTGGGCAAGTGGGAGAAGTCGAGGAAGGTGGAGCTATACGTTGGATGCGATCCCGCAGATGTGTCGATCAAGCAGGCCAAGGACAGATTCGCCCAGATGCAGAGGAAGAACCGGCGATTGTTTCACGGCGAGTTCTACGCCAAAGACTGCTTCGGAGAGTGGCTAGGCGACATACCCATCATCAAGGAGGTTGGTATCGATCCCGGAGCCGGCGGCGGCAATGCCATGAGCCAGCGCTGGGGCGGTGGTGGTTGGGACATGGTCACCATGATGTTCTGCATGCACTACGCTTTTGAGAGCGAGTCCAAGGCAAGAGGCATGCTGCGCAATGTCGCAGGCGCGCTGAAGAAGGGGGGACGCTTCATTGGCTGCATACCCAACTCGGACGTGCTGTCGCAAAAGGTCATTGAGCACCACAAGGCCAAAGGCACAGCACCCCCTGATGTGGACGGTGCCGATGACGACGATGACCGCCCCGCATTCGCAAGTGACGACGAAGATGACTGGGACCCGGAGAAGAGTCTTGATAGCCCCAAGCCCGCTGATACCGAGCACGCGAACGACGACAAGGCAGGCGGGTCGAAGAACAAGGAGAAGGAAAAGGAGAAGGAGAAAACACAGGACGAACAAGAGGACGGCGAAGTGGAGGACGAGGGCTTCGGCTTCGGCAACAGCATCTACAGCGTCAAGTTCCCAGGCAAAACACCCTCCGATGGCACATTCCGTCCTCCGTTTGGCTGGAAGTACTCGTACTGGCTCACTGAAGCTGTTGAGGCGCCCGAGTACGTCGTTCCCTGGGAAGCTTTCCGAGCGCTGGCAGAAGACTTCAACCTCGAGCTGCAGTATCGCAAGCCGTTCAGGGAGGTTTGGGATGAGCAAAAGGACGACCCTATCTTGGGTCCTCTCAGTGAGGTAATGAAGGTTAGGGATCGCTCGACTGGCCGACTCCTGACTTCGGAAGAGGAATTGGAAGCGGCAGACTTCTATCATGCATTCTGTTTCTACAAGGTTTAGATGGGCAGCATTATCGGCGTCTGGGATCTGGCAGGAATGCCTGGGGTGATGATGGAAAAGTCATCTTCAACGTGTATAATATTTTCATATGGCAGGACAGATCAGGTTTGTGAGTCAGATTTGGAAGGGCTCCCCGATGTTCATACTTTACGCGACAGCCAAACAAGCTCATTGAACTATCACTGCATACAAATCTCGTCTCGTGTGCTCCTGATGTTTACCAGTCGGCTGCAAAATGTCGCGATGACAACAGAATGTAAGAAAGCCCGAGACATGATGGAGGTTAAAGCTATCTTGTAGAGAGAGTGCTTGAATAAAAAATACTACATGTAGCCAACATTCACATGTCACTAGTAAGCCCCTACGCGTGCCCCAGATCACGTTGCCCGTGACGCAGGCGGATCGAGTTGCCGAGGTCGGTCGCGTTTTCCCCGGCAAACGGGGCCTGGCATGGCATCAGAACCAAAGCCCGAACTCCCTGCGCTTCCGCAACCCATCTCCGCATTCCACTACCACACTCCCCCATACGTTCCTTCCTTACTCGAATTCATCATCTCGAGAGCAAGCGCGCGCCCTAGTCCGACTTACAATTAACACGACGATTCGAAGCTGGACTTCTCTCCTTCGCGATACATACTAAGCGTATTCGTGGGCAGCGACTCGGCCGATAAGATGGTTGCAGATGCCTTGGTTTACCACCCGACGGTGTCGCATTATTTGAAGTTTGTTGCGACGACTGGTACGCTTCTTCTTCTCATACCCCATATATTCCCAACATATACAATGCTCCTAACCCGCGCCATTCCATCCCATTTCACCTCCGAAACCCCCGTCTCACCTCCCCCCGTATCATACATCCCAACATGAACACCCCCCACTAACTCTCCCTTCCAGTCGGACGCGACAAAGTGCTCCGCACCCTCCAATACTTCTCCCGCTTCCTCGCCTGGTACTTGTACCGCACGAACCGACCGGCCTCGACCATCGCTCCGTATGAAGCGACCAAGAAGACCTTCGGCGCGACGCGCAAGTTGATGCGCGTGGGCAAGTTTGTCGAGCACTTCCGCGCTGCGGCTGTAGCCAGCGATGCCAAGAGCATGGACCCTGTGCTGAGGTTTACGGCCGTGGGCAGGCAGTTGGGATATGCGTTTTACATGCTTTGTGATAATGCTTGTGTGGTGAGTTTACATGCACCTCGATAACATAAGACACAACAGATTGGGAGACTAACAACCACCCAGCTCGACGCAACATCCATCCGCAAATCCTCCTTCGCCCCGCGTCTCCTCCGCGAAGGCTACCGCGCCTGGTTCGCCGGCATCTCCTTCTCCATCGCCTCCGGCCTCTACCAGTACTACAACCTGCTCCAGCACTCCAAGACCATCACTCAGTCCTCGGACCCAGAGAAGGTGGTTGAGACGAAGAAGTTGCAGAAGGAACTTAATGCTGTCAAGGTGCAGTTGGTTAGCGATCTTTGCGATATTACTATTCCAAGCTCCGCGTTGGGTTGGGTCGATCTGGATGATGGCATTGTGGGCTTGGCGGGTACGACGAGTTCGCTGCTGGGGGTTTGGGGGCAGTGGAGGAAGACTGCTTAGGCGTGATAAAGTGCGTGGGGATTATGAAGAGGTGGGAGAGGGGGTTGGGAGATGGGATGTATGGGATATTTTCAAGTTACTGTTTGCGCCATTCGGTTCGATTTGCTCCATACTCCTGTTGCCTATATAATGTCATCGTTCGAGACGTACGTGCCCTTCTCTCTTTGCCGCTTCTTGATCGCGATTGTCAGTCTTCATCATTATAACCTCAGATACCTGTTATGTCCCAATCCAATCTGCGTTTCCATCATCAGATATTACCCCTCAACGCTTCGTGTTATTTGCCGCACTTCCACCCTGGGCTCCTATGGCGATGTCTCTTTCCCTTCTTCTTCTTGCTTCCAAAGAAGCTTAAGTCAGACCAGATATGTGCATCTTCGGTTCGCATGTTGTTTGGATTACTTGGAACAACACCGGTACAGTATCAGCTTGCTAGAAACCACAAACAAAGCATGTCAGCTCCAAGATCATTTCGCGACTTAGAGTATCATGTAGCGCTAACGGAAACGGATGTGTGGCAGCAAGTCACAAACCACTGCTACTGCAAAGACAAACAGATCCATCGGGATACATTTGGTAGGACTTGCGGTGCTATGTCGGTAGGATGTCATCGCGCGTTATGGGCACGGTTGTGGAGAGTGGAGAAAACTTGATGCTGCCTGAGTTGCAGAGCGGATGTTTATCTTCAGAACTAGTACGATTGTAAAGGGTGTTCGGCAGTTTCCAGGATGGCACGCAGGCACCCCATGCAAGGGAAAAACTAGACAGGTGCCCCGAAGTCTACATTGCCCTAACATTCCGAGTCTGTAGATTGTTGAGGTAATGTAGCCTGCTCAGCTATGTTTTCTAATAGTCGTACTTCGCGCAGATAGGTGTCCAGTTTTTCCCTTGAATGGGGTGCAGGGTTACTTCTGGCCTCATGTGGGCTGTTGCGGAGTCAATTCTGTTCTGGTGTGAGCTCCCTGTATACATCGGCTTACTTGCGTATGATGGATGACACAGCCAAAAGACCAGGACGAGTGACATTACCTTGCCCTGCTGTACAGGATACTGGATTGTAGAAATACACTAGGCTTTGTCGCTACTTTGAGGTTGCAGACTATTAAGCAATCGTGTTTTTAATATCTGTCGGATACTTGGCGGGATTACTATGCAGAAAGCAACGAGGTTCATCACACACAGTTCGCACCGATGCAAAACCCGCCGATGTACCGCAATCGCCCCGACTTCTCCCTACTTTTCCCCAAGATTAAAATAACGTCACCCAGAGTGTAATCGTATGTAACGCCTGAGCGATGATAAGCCCGAAGACAGGAATACCAAGGCGGGGGCATCGCTAAGTCTGCCATGTCTTGGCACCGTCTGCTTGCACCCTAAATGAGTAGCCACAAGCGGCAACTCACCCCTTTGGGAGAAGACCGTCCCACTGGATGGGGACATCAGTCGGACCATGAGTCGGGTAGTTCTGCCGCTTCCGTTGTCACGCAACGTGGACTTTCTTTTGGGTCGTACAGTGGATTATCAAGAGGGGCTTTTGTGGATTCGTTCAAGAAGAATACCGGAGGACCGCCTGTTCGAGATAACGCTTTGTAGGCCCGCATTCTGGTGGAGTCCGCGTGGTGAAAGGCTGAGGTAGGCGCAGAATCGATACCGATCTTTTGTGTGAAGAGGAACATGGAGCGAACGTATATGGTCGGGTACAAGCGGTATGGTCATCGTTGCTGGTCTAGATATTGTGATAGCTGTTAGCTGTTAGCTGTTAGCTGTTGGTTGCATCGATCGCTTGGTCTGAGGTCGGCAACTACTGCCCGCGGAACCATGTTTGGTCCTAGCCGTCGCCGTTGAGGATAGCCACCGGATCTATGTCTGAACAGGGTCCAGGGCAGTGCGGACAAAACGGTGAAGCAGAACTGGGGCGCTTGACTACATCTGCCATCAAGTTTACGAAGCCATGTTTCGGCACGTATGCCAGCCGTCGCGCAAAGTCCGATTCAAATTTTCCGATGTGCTGTTTCACTGCCATCATGGATGTTGCTCCGTAAAGGTATACGCGTTCACGTCGATCTGACGAGTGATGGAAGTTGCAGATACAATGCGGGAAAGTGTTATGCTTTTTCCATCGAACCGCTCTGAGCCGCTCTGAGATCACGAAGGATGCCGGGGATGGATTCTGATACAGTAGTGGGAGCGATGTTGCGTTTATCGATGGCCTCGAACGGCAGCCGCGTTATCGCAAGCTTGCTTAGGTACACGGTCCACGGTGTTGCGAGCCTCGAAGCGTTAGCCGTCTTCCTCAATGTCTCTACTGCGATAGGAAAGCAAATATGCCGAGGCAGCTGTGTTCTTCAGTATAGCTGAGAAAGAGTAATATGGCTTCAGCTAGATAAGGTGTTGCGCCTCATGGCAGGTGGAGGGTGTGTGGCCATGCGACGACGTTGGGCAACTGCCCTGTTGATCTCGCATGCTTTTTCCAGACCCTGGCCGCTTACCACCACCCATGTTGAGTCGTGAACCCCCCTACACCCTCACGTTTCATCGCTTTTCATCTGACCTCATCATGGACCCGGAGAGGCTGCCGGTATGCGAGAGCTGCATTCCAAGGTTGCGTCGATACTACCAAGCGACATTGAGGTAGAAACAGGGCGCGGGGCGTGGTTATGGCTGCGGCGTGGGTTCTCTTTAATCTCCTACCCATAATGCAGCACGCCCTTAGTCCAACTCTCTTATAGCGACACATTCACCGTGTTGCAAAGTCGTAACATGCCAGATCCATGAATCGCTCCACGAGGCCCAGCACTGCCATCAGATACAGTGGGCTGCGCTACAGACTTCCCTTGCCGATAATTGACCGAGGCGTAGTCCTCAAATGTTTGTTGCCCCGAAGGCCCCAGGCTGGAACTGCCATGGCGGATAGGAGGTTAAAAAGGAAAGGGACATGGGGACAAAACGGGACGCTTCCTGGAATACCGCCGTGCCGCTACAGAACCATCGTCGCGTCATGGCCCGGTAAAGCACCGTGTCGCCCGCCCGCTCGAGCTACAACCTCCGCCAAACTGTATACTTCGCGTCCAACTAGACTTATGTTTCCATTGGCCGGCTCTCAAATGCGATGCGAACCATACGGCAACACCGAGATCTCCATGGCCACTGTTGTCATCAAGGCCATGAGACTTTGCAAGCAGGGGGGCTGGCTCTATAGCTGCTCGCTTAGAGTGGTGGACCCCCCGGAGAGTCGTGAAACGAGTCATCCACTCTTGCGAACCGTAGCTGTTCGAACGACCTGCGACCATTCATTCCACATCATGCTCCTTCATCCCGACGCCACCAACGGGAGCTTCCTTCGCAAAGGATTTGATCTTCAATAGGATCCCCTGGATAAGACAGGCTGCACGCTCGCTCACAAATCTTGGACTCTATTGGCTCGCCTGTCTCCAGCCGGCTTTCTTTCCTTTGTTTGTGATGAAGCGACATTACGGCGCATCTATTGCAGGAACTCGAGCAAGGCTAGGAGAAGAAAAATCAAGAAAATGGCATATATTCAGCATCTAAAGCAAACCTAAGCAACAAAGTTCTGGGCTATCTGGTTTCAGGCAACCAGGTTGCAAGGCTGTTTTGCGGGGTACCAATCAAACTCGACTGTCGGCAAACAGTCCTGTTGCCACCATAGCGCGCACTCTTGTCGACTTTTTCCTCATCCTGTTCGTGGCTGCAACACAGGTGAACGACAAGCGATCAAACAA